ACCTTAGGCCCTAAAATGAAGAAGCTGAATCCATTTAAACTAGAAAGGCCAATATTTGCTTTGGAGCAAATATAGCGATGGGTTCACCACATTTTACGACATGGCAGGGAAAGAATGAGAAACACTAGAAAGGCCAACATTTGCTTCGGAGCAAATGTAGGAATTTCACTCCATACCCTTCCCCAAACAAAAATGAGAGATTCTAAATAAATCATACTGCAATTATACAAGGACAAGCTGTTTGAATCTCGACAGGTATTTACAAAACTGGCACTTGGCAATTATCTCCCTTTTTTTACAAAGGTACAACGACACGCACTTTAAATCTCGACAGCTTTACTTTACACTTTTGACGAGATTGTAACTACTACTAACGGAAGCAAAATTTTCACGGCCTGAGAAAAATGGACATGTTCACGGAAGTATATATTCACGGTGGTGACAGTTGCAGGAAAAAGAAGTCCGGGAATTATTTCCTAACTGTAATGATAAGTTCACAATACAGAGGTGACAGTGAAAACCGTGAACATTGACCCCCCGCTTGCGTTGCGGTACAGTGAAAAAAATCGGGAATTACAGCAATCAATTTACTGAGTATGTTTGCTTAGTTTCCAGATGTTTTGTACTTGTAGTTTTTAAATGAACGAAAACCGATGCGCGCACAGATGTTACTTTTGTGACAACATCAAAGTGATTTTGGTTTGTATGTTGAAAAAAATTACAAAAAACTAACATTCGAAGTTATTGAAATTCTTGAGTAAGAACAATCAGTTTTGGAATGTTAAAAGCAAAGCAATGGATATTAAAACGAAAATGTTAAAATTAAATGTTGAAATTGTTAAAATGTAAAATGGTTAAAATGGTTAAAATTGTTGAAATTGTTAAAAATGTTAAAATTGTAAAAAGGATAATTAAAAATATCCAGTGTACCGGGGTTCGAACTCATAATGTCTGGACTTGCAGCCCTGCGCGTTACCAACCGAGCTATCTGGACACGTTTCCATTACTCTCTGCATTGTATGTCATATAAAGTGGACAACATGGCGGTAACGATCGCTTCAAGTACTAGTAAGGGACTTTCTAGGAGATACACTCTACAATTTTGGTGATTCTTCAGAAATCGATAACAGAATATATAATACTAGTCGGTGAAGATTGTGGAAAATTGTTGATACCGTGGCGCGCGCGTGACGATACACATTACGTACCGTTGTTTACAGTACTCGCGGGGCGCAGGTCATTGACCTCCCGCTTGCGTTGTTCCAACAGAGAAGAGCAAAATATCTGCCAGTTTTTGCGTCAGATTTTCAGTGTTTGTTAAAATCATATACAGGCATCCATGCAGCTATAATTCTTCCAACTAGTTCGTAGTTAGGTGAAATGTTTATAGGAATCACACGAATCGGTATCCAATATCAGAGTATCATGGCCCACGGCCGAGACCGCGTGGACCAGCTGCGCTGGTACGTGAAAATGGTAGTAAATAAATTAATTAGCCAACAGCCAATCAACAGCCACATCTGCAAACATGACCACACCTGCTTGTATGCCCATATTTGGGCCTTCCCCCGAATTCCTTTCTTATTACGTCACGCGCGTACGCCCCACAGTACTTTCCTATGGGGACCACTAAAAAGCAAATAAAACGATTGTAAAAGCTTGTATCAAAAAATTTAAAAAACGCCTAAGGGTATTTACCCACTCTACCTCTATACGAAATTACAGGTAATTTCGCCCAAAAATGAAGGAGTTGAATCAATTTAAAGAAGTGGCAGGAGGAGGAGGAGGAGAAGAAATATCAGAAAAAGCAATATGGGTTCACCACCACTTCGTGGTGTGGTGAACCCATAAAAATGGCAGGAGAAGGAGGAGGAGGAGAAACATCAGAAAAAGCAATATGGTTTCACCACACCACTTCGTGGTGTGGTGAACCCATAAAAAAATCGGGACGAGGCCGTAACCTAATTGTGACCATGACTGGCGTCCGCCACATGCAGCTCGGGCCCCCGTTAGAAATGTAACTTCGGCATTAGGAATACTGACCTACGAACAACTACAAGTTTAGTACACGTACATGCTACATGGGCTCATAACAGTGACTTACCACAGCCCTCCTCATCACTCCCGTCCGTGCAGTCTGCGATCCCGTCACAACGCTTCCAGGATAGGATACAGGCAAGTCCGTGTCCACAGCGGAAATGTCCCAGAGAGCAGCTGATTGCTTTAAGTTCATAATCATTAAGTTCTTAAAAAGGAATTATGTAACATTTTTGCATTTCATTCGAAAAAAAATCGTGATTGTAATTTTCTTCCACTTTATAACTGGACATATGCTATGTTTGTGCACATTTATGACATACATAATTCGCGCATAAAACAGCCCGCACAAAGCGCAAAGTTTGTGATGCCAAACAAACAAACATGGCTGACAGCTGTGTTTCTAACTGTTGAACACACTCGTTAAGCTTTTATTTACAAATGGATCCGTAGAAGGGTTAATTCAAGTCTGTAAATAAATTATATATTTATATATATAATTAGTAGAAAATTTACTATCGCCCTAGTGTTACATAATAAAGCTTTAAAGATTTTGAACTGATTCTGCTTCATCGGAAATTATTGTAATTGGGTGGGGCAGATAACCCAGTCCTTGCAGTCAATGGTTGAATTGTGAGGAACTTACAATTATTGAGGTTTTTAATCGCAAGGAGCGTTCGGAGCGGCTGACATTCGGCGCAAATTTGGGTCACAATCCCACTACTGTAAAATGATCAGGATGGGGACGAATTGATAGCTAACTGAGTCGGGGAGAATGAAGGAACTGTAATTTTGAAGAAAACGTATGTTAATCTTATAGGACGTTATGTGACGTACCTTCATCCAGCTGGCAGATAAACTTGTAAGCAGAGGAGCACGGTGCGTCATTCCACTCTGATCCATAGTAGTTCGCGCAGTTTTCTCCCTCGTTACCGTTGGGTTCTCCCGGCTGCCAGAGGTTCCAGTCGGTACTGATGTCGTGTTGATTCCCGTCTTCCCACACCCACTCACCTTCATTGTTCCCATCATTTAGGCCAAACCAGAAATGTGAGATTGTATCCACGGCGTTCTTCAGCTCTCTCACGAAGTTGTCCACGTCTTTGTCCTTCGGCATGGCCAGGAGCGCCCCGTCCGCTGCTGCTGCACACACCTCTCTGGCCTGGCTATAGGTTTTGTCTTGGTTGTACGCCTTGAAGCACGCACCCCCGTATGCAGTATAGCCAGAGGGACAGCCTGTAGAAATATGATACCAAACGGGTATAACTGGGCCTTTCATCTGACATTGAGACTATTTAGAGCATTCTTACCACTTTGCTAGTTAACTACTTGTACACCAAGTCTCACTCTGTAGTAACAACATGAAGGTTACTTTAGTAATTCGAAGTACCTATGCATGGTTAACGCAAGCACGTGCAACCTAACCTCTCAAGAAATGTATTGTACTTTCAATAAGTACATTAACTCTGGTTGAAATATCTTTAAAAAGTATGCATTTTTGCATTATGAGCATGAGATGAAAATCATTTTAGGTGCGCCGGGGCATCAGAGACATGATTGGATTGTCGAAGGGTGCTAACAATAGAGCAAAATTGATCAAATCTATCTGAATGTACCTTTATAAACTCAAATACAGAATCCACATTGTACATGACGGAGACTACTTTAGCTTATTAACGTAATGACGAATGCAAAAACATCAAAGCCTACGTTATACTAATTACGTGACAACTGATTGGTCGGTTTTATTTTGAGACGAGGCACCAGACGATATCCTACTCACAGCTCAGTCCATCCTCCTGCAGTTCCCAGGAATCCCGACAGGCGCACGTTCTCCCCCCCGGATGGGCAAGGCAAAGCTCCTTGCATCCTCCATTGGACGAGGAACAGGCTGATATACGGATACACGAGCAAGTTAAGATTCCAGATATGATTGTGTAAAAACAAATACTCAAACAGTGAAGTAATAAAAGTCAGTTGCCACAGATTGCAAGGTTTTTCCAGGTACAAACATATTACGACAGCTAAAGGTAGCGGAAGTTATAACAGCTAAGTATATTTTCACTAATTACATGTATTGTTATCAAATATAAACGTTATTTTTGCACAATATATGGATGATTAAGCCATTATTACTCGTTTTAATGTAACCCAATTATTGACCAAAGAGGTATACTGCACTATCCATAACCAACCTTTAAGGGCTATTTATATAGTCTATTTATGTATCATGTATCAGCTTATTACTTATTATCATATATCATATCATATCATAGCAGATGACGTCGACCAATCACAAGGCTCCATTTCCCATTGGTTATCAGGCCAAAACATTAAAGTGGTCGTTTTCACAACGTGATTTCGCGAGAGTTACGGTTTACAAACACGTGACCTTATTCACACGAGACTTTACTGATACGTGACGTAAGCAATTGATCAACAGTGCCAGGGAGTTTATATCGTCCACCATCTCTATTAAGTGAAGGCTGAAGTGCTCTGATATATATATAGAATACAACACGGGGTATTCCGTATCGCCCGAGGTACCAGCCCGACCGCGCGTCGGATCGCCCGACGGCCGAAGGCCGGAGGGAGATCCGATCCGCGGGAGGGCTGGGACCGAGGGTGATGCGGAATACACCGTGTTGTATTTTATTTATGTCATACCCACCCAAGAAAACACGCCTTTCAATGCAAAATGAGCAGAAAGTTGGTGTCCCTAAACCAAAAAATGCAACAACATCAATTCCAACGTCCGAATTTTGCATTCGAATTTTCGAAAGCGTTGCACGCGGTTAGGGCGAAACGCGTTCGAATCGTTCTGTGGAACATTTGGAAGGGCCGGGCCGTACGCGGTAAGAACCCCCGGGCCGTACCGCTAGTTATCACAGGGGCCGGAACACCTGTATCGAACGTAATCGCGGCCCAGGTAGGACATAAGATTAATTATCCTGATGAAGGCGACAGTGGTCGCTGAAAATTTGATCCCTGTAAATAGTGTGTTGGAATAAAGTTTAACGTTTTATTATGATTACTACCAACACAGATGAACTTTCATGATAATATTATAACATTTGATCATCTTCATTTCATTCTTTGTTTTAATTTGAACATGTCATCAAAATGGTACTAATCTTCATACTGCACCGATGAAAATTTTTACGGCGATTATATCCCAATTATCATGATTCCTAATTGACAACTTCCCAAGCTATTTCCACACAAATGCATAAAATGTAGATTTTAATGAAGAGGTCATGTGCTTAACTACTGATGAAATATTGAAATTAAACATTACCAGAGGAACAAAGTTTCACAATCACATATCAAATATATGTAATTTGTGTTGACATAACCATATTTGATGGAGGTATGCGATCTCCGAATTCTTGTTAAGGCCACACCAAGTAAATTTTATGGATGACGTCCGCGCGCGCATTGATTTTGGCCTGTTCCTCGAAAAAAACACAGGAAATTCCGCTTCCTGTAACTATGACCAAAGAGTCACGACAGTGCCGCAAATCGTCAGATTGACGTGAAACCCGTAACGCGAAAACAGGACAGGACGACAACTGCTGTTCCACCTGCTTTGATGATGAATAAAAGACTTCTTGCTTGTTACACTGTGTCACCTCATTAAATTCGTGTCCTAACATTTGTTGTCTCCTAGTATATTTCTAATCTAGGCATCTTGTTTTTTAGGGCCCTTCTTGTTTTTTTTTCGCCCTCTCGCATTAGATTTAGGGTCTCCAAAGGACGTCATCCATAAAATTTACTTGGTGTGGCCTAAGGTAGTAATACTATGCTCTTTAATCCTCAACAGTACACCTTCCCGGACTGATTAATCTGTACACCTGGGGTCCGCGCGGACCCCAGAGCAGTTTTTTGCTAAGTTTTAGAAATTATCAACATGCTACCAGCTCAATTGTTTTGCAAACTGATGTGTGACACTCTGTGTCCACATTACATACGAAAATTATACATTTTGAACTTTTTCTATTTTTTGGTGAAGAAAAGAAGACAAGAAGAAATACACGATTTTTAAACCCATTTCAGACTGAAGGGGCTTTTGAGGCCCAACTTTGATCTTAGATAGCGGCTAAACGGCTTGCGCTAGAAGTATCAAATTTGGAGACCTTTCCTAAAATGTCTCTGGAAAAAAGTTCATGTTAGTTTAATACTAGTAAGTTGATGTTTTTTTGTGTTGCCATGGCAACGGGTTTGTAGCAGGCAGTTTTTTTAAATAGAAGTAATTTTGGTTTAAACATAAAAATTTTCTGAGTTTTACAATGTATATTAAATTACACTTCTTTTCCAACATTGATAACATCTTACATAATTAAATATAAGTAAAATCATTTAATATGCATAGAATATGGTAATTTGATGACGTCATTGGTCAAAATCCAATATGGCGGACTATATTATTAGCTCTGACGTCATACCATGTCATAATTACACCAAAGTTATTAAAATTTAATTCTATTACTACACCATTCTCTGAAAACTTGGTAGACATACGATGAGTGCATAAAAACATATAAAAACGGAAATAAGGGAATGTATAAGAACGCCAGTGTATCCATTATGATCGAAAGCCGGCTGGGGTCCGCGCGGACCCCAAAAGAAAATCAGATATAATTTTTTTATAAATGGTAGAAACGGAGTTTTCTGCACTGTATTGAGAGACAACTTTGTGGGTGACAATTACCTAAAATTTCAGAAAAAAATCTTTAGAAACAAAAAAGATATTACAGAATATATAGTGCTGGGGTCCGCGCGGACCCCAGGTGTACTGTTTAGGGTTAAAAATAACACTGACTGTGTTTCACAGTAACACTCTTACAAACACACGCACATGCCACCGGAAATATAACCTTCCTGGCAAAGGTAATTACCATTGGTGACGTTATGAGGAGACGCCGTGGACAGGAAGATGTCTCGTGGCCTCCTCAGTTCATCAACCAGAACAGTCTGATTCATGCTGGACTTGGATAACCTGGAGTTGTGATATATAACGTTATGTCAGCAAATCGTTACATAGAGATGCTGAAGGGAAAATGTATTACCTGTTCAATAGCAATTGCTTTTGAATTCGTCTTAAATTATCCATGATACCTACAGTTTCGTACGAGAAAGTTTAACTAATATATGAAGGGGATTTTCTTGCCTTATGACTTCACCAGTCGAGTAAATTGTCCAGTAGATGTAATCAGCATCAGCCGCTATCCCTCCGACACGTTCCCCGTATCCAGGCTTAACAAGTTGTATATCGTTGCCGTGCATGTCTGAGCTGTAGATTACGTCGTTAACGGAATAGTACAACCGATTCTCTGGTTGGAAGAAAAACACTTTTTTAAAAACAGAAACACATCCAGATTACCATCGAATCATCACTTGCATGATAATGTTGTTGTTCATGTTTAAAGAAAGTGCCAATATTAAATAAATACTGCAGAGGACCAAAAAAAAAAACATTTTAGCACTAGAAAGGCCAATATTTGCTTTGGAGCAAATACAGCGATGGCTTCACCACATTTTACGACATGGCAGGGAAAGAATGAGAAACACAAGGGAAAACAATGCTTTACATTGATATAACTATAATATGAAGTAACATACAACTAAGACTACAACAGTTGGCTAGCTATTCCCTACATTATTGGTTAGGATTTTTAATTGCATAATGCAAACTGTTGATTTTCAAAAAAAAAACGTTCATGCCCCGCATTCCAATGCTGGAGCAGGAAAGCTTGAAATACCTACCAAAACACTTGAATACAGACATACTGTCAGTATGGAAATGGTCTGTGCAGGTGTTAATCAAGTTAAATCCCAACAGCCAATCAGCAAGAAATGCTCTGTGCAGGTGGAAATGGTCTGTGCAGGTGTTAATCGAGTTAAATCCCAACAGCCAATCAGCAAGAAGAAGATAGGAAAGCTGCATGCCTATTGGTTGATGCCCTGCATTCCATTGTGATGACTCATGCCAAATGTGGTTAACACTGCCCACTGACACAGTAATACATTTGCTATAATACAGCCAAAAACTCAAATAAAACCATTCTAAAAGCCTGTATCACAAAAATTTAAAAAACGCCTAAGGGTATTTGCCCACTGTACCTCCATACCAAATTTCAGATCCTTAGGCCCCAAAATGAAGAAGCTGAATCCATTTAAAGATATGGCAGGAGGAGAAGAAGAAGGAGGAGGAGAAACATCAGAAAAAGCAATATGGTTTCACCACACCACTTCGTGGTGTGGTGAAGCCATAAAAAATGATTACATAGTTACAGGTGCGAGGTAAGCAATGGTAAGTCAAATTAGTTTATCATTTGATTCGATCCAACATTAATCGTCGTGTACACATAACTAACATAAAGTAAACCTTAAGGAGTTTATATCTTATGATCACCGAGCCCTTTTCAGGCCCTTCCAATGTAGCTCCTACCCATGTAACCCCAATTTTTTTAGAGTTTTAGGGTTAACGCTTGAGAAAAACATTCATTAGTTTAAAAGGAAAATCGTTTTCTTAGACATTTTGTATTGTATAAGAAATCACGTTTCAGTAGTTCAGTAGTTATCTACCTCTTCTTTTTCCTTAATGTTGCCATCATGTGACGTTCTAAGAACGTTTTGGAGGGCAGACGACACCATTAATTCACTTGTTTCCTGTTTCAAACATGTCTGTTTAAAAAAAGGCTGTAACTAGCTTAAGTTTTTACATTTTTTTAGATCACCATCTAGCCATGAAGATGAAAACATGGCGTCCCTGATCAAAGTTTTGGCCCTACAGATAAAAGAAGGACACTAGAAAAAGGCGGGGGGGGGCATGTATAACTTAACCGCAGCAGTATTATAACAAACTTGTCCTTTGTGGACTAATAGGTTGTTACCAGGATGTTTCTCTATTGCTTGTTTTCTCACCTGTGTAGTCTACTGCAATGCTAGTGGCGTAGGGATGAATCAAGCTCCTAATGATAGTAGTCTGGTTGTTGCCGTCCATCGCTGCACGGCCAATAGCCCCCATGAAATCTGACCAGTACATGAGTCTGTAAAAAAATTATACACTACATGAAGAAACATAGACACAGTTCATCTGAGATGTCAGTAAAGAGCAAAATAAAAAAAATAACTCGGCACATTACTTTTTTCGTGATTACAGCAGAACTATTTTCCATTTTTCTCTTGACCCTTCTCAGACCTGACTTTTTTTACTGCCTAATGAATTTTACTTGGCCTCAGGTAGCGCCGCTGTATTGCGCCTACATTTAATTTCTAATTTTCCGTCAAATTTCACTATTCTTTTTTGATATCGCGGTGCGTAAACAAATGTATGCTTGGGACGAGCAAAAGAAATGAAAATAAAGCCAAAACAAGCAAATACTTGCGCGTTGGGGACAAATTTGCCGGAGCGTTTTCGGATGGAGTCTCATCACCGACTATGACCTCTGACATCATTCCGCTTGAATTGTTTTGTCAATTCAATAAAGATGATGTCTAACACACTACAATCATTTTTGAGCCCTGCTTGTTTTAAATGAAATTACCCGTTTCTGGGATCCAGGACCAGCTGCCCAGGGTAGCGTTGTGATGTCAGAAGTGTCCTGACAAAAGATCCGTCCTTCCGGGCTACTGAGATGCGTCCTTTATTGTCGCTCCAGTACACATTCCCACCAGCATGGTCCAATCTTAGGCCCCACACGTATGCTACATTTAACAACAGATGGAGATATATGTTATATGTTGCAGTCAGTCGTTATATGTTGCAGTCAGTCGATCAGAACAAAATGAGGGGGGGGGGTACATTTTATTCAAATTGCGTTGAAAACTCAATATTTATGAAGATTTTACAAATAGTGACTTTTTTACTTTAAGCTTAAGGGTGGATGTTTTAAACTGACCAGAACAGCAAGGCCGTGATTTTTCTTGCAATTTTAGTCCACAACAAGGGAAATCGTAGATTTCAAACCTCCGGGTTTTTTTTTCTATTGGTTTAGGTTATTTGTTTGTGTGTAGTATGAAAGTTATGTGCGTAATATGTTTGTATGCCGGTTTCATGGCTACTGACGGTTGGTTCGGTATGGACTGTTGATTAACGTGTCTCAGTCTGACAGCCGCGCCATTACCCCCGCCGTCATCCCGCGCCGTCATTGCTGCGCCGTCACCCAAATTTTTTATCGGAACCAGACACCCCTCTGTTTGACCCCTTTTGAATGGTAAGACCCAAAACTGCAACCTCCCCATTCCTTAACAACATAGTAAATTCCATTTTCAGCATAACGGGGGTGTCCGGAGCACTTAAAAACCTTTTATTTCGATGCCCATAAGCACATATGCAATTAAACAAAAACGTTCTGCACCATCTGCAGCCCAATAGCAATACGTATACCGAACAACAGACCAATCCGTCCAGCCGATCGCGAGAAACAGCTGCTGACAGAAATGTTTCGAACAATAGTAAAACCTCCTCGCGGAAGGATATCTCCTTCCCCGGAGGTAATGAATGCCCGGCCTGTATTTCAAGCGTATACATTGTACATGTGAAATTCCGTAAGACATACTGTACATGTACAACGATGATTAGTAATAAGAAATGGATTGACGATTATCACCCACTGTTTGCTTCTAACTCCACAATGGTCTCTAGCCTACTTCCATCACGACGAGTCCGTTCGATGTCGTCATCAGTTGTCCAGTACATGAAGTCAGTCATAGGGTCATAGTCCAGTGACCCGTGCAACCCCATATGTGATGACACCTTGACCTTTGACCCGTCCTTGACTTCAATTTGAAATATTCCATCCTCGATAGAAACAAACAGGAAAGGTTCTCCTATTTTTGTTGAAAATAGACGTGGAAAACTGTTTTTGTTATTATTGTTTACAAACATATGAGGTTCTATTTGCCATTACATGTATACATGTCGGTTTGTAAAATATTTCCTTACAAAAA